AATAACTATCTGAAGCCAACAGAGGTAAAATTATCCATTATTCCCCAAAAAGGAAACGATTAGAGAAAAGTCCAAAAAAATGAAAACAGATTTAGCGTAGCACAACGTTGTTTTTCTTCTTAGGCTCTCTCCATTAATCATCTCATGACCCCACACACTTATCTTCTGACCCTTAGGCCTGACCCCTAGGTTGGAATCCACTGGATAAAACTACCTGACGGTAAACTCGTTCCACCTCAACCAGCTACAACCGTGAAATGCTGCTTATACATTGTTGCATTAGCATTCAAAGTCATATATGATTGGGACATTGTACTGCAAAACAAGCATTTTTACTTTTAATACTTTACTTAAGCAAAGGAACTGAATAGCTCTTCCACCACTGTTCTATATATTCAGCCATTCAGCAACTTTCTCTTCCTTGTCGCCTTTAAAAACTCGTTTGTTTAGAAGAATAACAGGAAATATTGTTAGCACCATTTGCTCATAGCATGCTAACAAAAAGGTACCTAGTGCTCACTGTTCACTACCAGCCTATTCTGTAGCTGACAGGAGAGAGTTGGATGCACATGCTCACACAGTGGTCAACGAGGCCACCTCAAGTCTGTGTGTGGTTAGAGAGAAGCATAAGCTGCCTCTGACAGCTGTGAGAAGGAGATCGAGCAGCCATGATGGATTCGAGCAGTGAAATCAATCTGCTGCTTCACCTATTTTATCACTATGTTGGGTTTTTTTTTGATCAGCTACTTTCAAAACTGCCAGTTGAGTAATTTGTAATGGATATCGGCTGATATTGATTCATATTGATCCGAGTATACCTACTGTGGGGCAAACAAAGCAACGCATCTATGACAGCCTTCTTAAACAAAAATCAACTGACTTTTATTATCTGTAATCAAATGAAAGAATAGCAAGGAAACATGCGTATGTGAATTAGATCAATCCCTTAGTCATCCATGTAATATTTCCTGTGCAACATTCTGAACGCATACCCTGAATATATGAAATGCCTGTTGTGGCTTGTTTTCCTCTAATTAAAGTCAAAATGCAAAATTAGCCATCTGGCCTTCTGTTCTTTCATAGGCTGAGGCTTCTGATACGCTGTAACCTACAGCACCAAGCAGAATGGAAATCTAAACCAGATGTACATTTGCTTGATGTTCCACACAAATAAAGGACAACCTAAACCAACTAAAACAAAAGACCAATTGAGATAAATACAACAAGACCAGGAAACATAATTCATTTAAATAATCAAATGCTATTTGCATATCAAGATCTAAAGATACTATCACTGTAATAGGCAGAAGTAAGAAGGTGCAGGTGGCTTTGTGACTTATGTAAATGAATTAAACTAGTTTTCTGTTCATGATTTGGCCTAGTTGTGTTTTAACATGTCAATGCATGCATATTAACAACAACATATTATATCAGTGTACTAAATGTATCTAGGGTTACAGAATAAGGAGGTTAGGCATACAAGAAAAACATCTCTAGGACATACCTCTGTTCAGAATTCAGCGCTTAGTCGAGGTACTTAAAATAATTGGCCTATATTTGGGCAGTACAGTATCTGCCTCTGCACAATAATGAAGTAAATCAATCACTGTGCTAGGTTAAAGCAAAAAAACAAACACAACTAACTTAGAGAAATTTTCTTACTTTGAATTGTACCTTGCATTGCCAAAAATCACTGTGCTCTGCATGTGAAGTAGACTGGAATAGCGATTCCAAATATAAAATACAAATTTGTTTAAGGCTCATGAAAATGTTTCCACTCTGGAGGGATTAAAAATAGGAATCGGCTAAAATGGGGGATGGAGGGGGTCACTTCAATCACTGCTTTCACTGCATGTTTGCATTAACCAGAGCAGAGTCAGTGACAAGGAGCAAGGGGTGACCAAAACCTGTTTCACACTAAAATGCTTTGCTTTCCCTGTTTCTTTAATCAAATGCACATTTCCCTGTCCTCTGTAATAAATGTCTTCCAAGATGGTGTATGACCAATGATTTCAAAAAGCAATAATGCAGAGAAATGGATAACCCCCCCCCCCCTTCACCC